AGACGGATAGAGTTATCATGACTACCAGAAGCTAATGTATTTCCATCAGGAGAGAAACAGACTGAGTAGACATAATTACTATGACCATCTAATTTTGCTTTTTATTATCCTGTTTTGACATCCCATAGACGGATAGAGTTATCATGACTACCAGAAGCTAATGTATTTCCATCAGGAGAGAAACAGACTGAGTAGACATAATTACTATGACCATCTAATTTTGCTTTTTATTATCCTGTTTTGACATCCCATAGACGGATAGAGTTATCATGACTACCAGAAGCTAATGTATTTCCATCAGGAGAGAAACAGACTGAGTAGACATAATTACTATGACCATCTAATTTTGCTTTTTATTATCCTGTTTTGACATCCCATAGACGGATAGAGTTATCATGACTACCAGAAGCTAATGTATTTCCATCAGGAGAGAAACAGACTGAGTAGACATAATTACTATGACCATCTAATTTTGCTTTTTATTATCCTGTTTTGACATCCCATAGACGGATAGAGTTATCATGACTACCAGAAGCTAATGTATTTCCATCAGGAGAGAAACAGACTGAGTAGACATAATTACTATGACCATCTAATTTTGCTTTTTATTATCCTGTTTTGACATCCCATAGACGGATAGAGTTATCATGACTACCAGAAGCTAATGTATTTCCATCAGGAGAGAAACAGACTGAGTAGACATAATTACTATGACCATCTAATTTTGCTTTTTATTATCCTGTTTTGACATCCCATAGACGGATAGAGTTATCATGACTACCAGAAGCTAATGTATTTCCATCAGGAGAGAAACAGACTGAGTAGACATAATTACTATGACCATCTAATTTTGCTTTTTATTATCCTGTTTTGACATCCCATAGACGGATAGAGTTATCATGACTACCAGAAGCTAATGTATTTCCATCAGGAGAGAAACAGACTGAGTTAACTATATACTAATAACCATTTAATTTCGCTTTTTATTATCCTGTTTTCACATCCCATAGACGGATAGACTTATCATAACTACCAGAAGCTAATATTTTTCCATCAGGAGAGAAACAGACTGTATTTACGCAATCATTATGACCATGTAATTTTTATAATTCAGAGATTCGTAATTCACTCCAGTTACAATTATATAATAACGCCCCATTCAGATTTATTCCACTTATGTTGACATTTTTAAATTAGGATTCACTAAAATTACACCTAACAAAATTAGCTCCTAGTAAAGAAATATTACAGATTTTTATATTTTCAAAATTTTTGTTTCTGAGGTCCACCTTCATCTAAATTAATACATGTAATGAATTAGATCCACATTAGATAAAAGTGTTATCTATAGCTGTAAGGTGAACTAAAAATTACTAAAATTCAATGATCCTTCTATTATCTTTGATGCTGTTAATTAAATTTTCGGTAGATTTTTCGTTTTCTTCAGAGGAATAGTCTTTCTTATTGAAGTCATGGTATTTTAATTTTTTTAAAACTTCTGTGATTTATTTGATATCATTTCTAACAATAGACAATTTCTACTCTTTATCAGCCTGGGTGATATCAACTCCTTTTTGTAAGATAAATGATTCTAATTGGCTTTGAGTCCCATCATCTGAAAGATATCCAATGATGTCTTAAACTTTTTCCTTTCTTAATTTTGCTTATATGACACTAAAAATTTGCTCATCTACATCTTTTATATGACCAAAAATGTCAGCTAGAGCTTACTTCTCTAAAAAATGGGCTTGCATATTTTTTTTTATTTTTAATAATGAATTTCTATTACTCTAACTTGAAGTTATATACTACAAAATCAATAAAAGTAATTTGTGCATTTCTGTAAAATAGAAGTTAGGACTTTGTGTAGATTTGGAATTGATTGTAATAGATGTAAATGATGCTATTGAGAATACATTTCAACATCTGCATTTCTTGATTTTTTTATAATATAGAATATTTTTATGATATATGAATATTTTTATTTATACTAAAATTGAGTTCAATTATTGATAGATTCATTCCTCTTGTTTATGATCTTTTCATAATTAATGATTTGATTTTCTTTTTTATACATATTTAGTTAATTTTCTCTATTTCTTATCCAATTAATCTAATATTGGAGGGGGTTTATTGATAAAAAAATTAAATCATTTTAACATATTTCATAATGAATTATAACCATACAAATCATTGTTTCCTTTTTTTTTTCTTCAATTTGCTTCAATAGACTTGCTTTTGAATTATTCAATATAAATTTTTGGTAATTTCTTAATAAATTAATTTAAATTTAACTAGTTGATGAGTTCATCAAAAAGTAGGGCTGTTTTTAATATAATGAAGTAATGAGATACATTTTTTTTTTAGATTTTAATTAAATTCGTTTAAATAATCTTAAAGTTAACAACGATTATATAGTTCTGACTCTTGAAAAATCTGTGTATTTTTTTTAAATATATTCTTGATGTATCTTTTTTCTTATCTTTTTATATAAAAAATATCTTTTACTATTTATGAACTAATATTACAAATTATTAATTAAGTTCTTAAGACTAATCCCTTTTGTAAATAGTGATAAATTAAGTAAATCTATCATATAATACCCCAGATGTATTATTAAAGAATGTTGTGTTAATAAAGTTTTCTTTAAGTAATTTTAACGATCTTTATTTTAATTTCTTCGTTTTGCTTACTTTTCTCTGTTTAGATTATTAATTTAAAGTAGTATCATTTATAATTTAGTCTCAAATATTATTAATTGATAACATTGATTATGATATTTAAATAAATAATCCCCAAACTAGACCGACCATATATTATAATATTATTAAAATAAATGTAGTGTATATAAAATAGAAATAAAAAAACTTAGAAAAATAAGAACATACCTAGCAATGAAAAATAAGAGTGAAACTAATAAAGACAAAATTAAAAAAATATTATATATTGTAGGTATTATAGTTGTAATATTGTTAATGTATAATCACATATACTTAAAGTCTTCTAAAATGAAACTTCCTAAAAATTTGAATAATGATCTAAGATCGTATCCCTTATAATTGATAAATTCTCCTTTCAAGATTAATGCTCCTTGTGCTTCGAATACTGGTGTTTAAGATATTCTTAGAATTGTAATATTGTTGGATTCTAAAAGGTAATTATCAAATAAATACCTGGTAGAGGATTATATGAAAATAGTGGTGCTTTGAATTAATCAAGAATATCTTTGAATTTTTTATCAGGAGATGAAATTTCTTCTATATTTTTCACATCCCATAGACGAATAGAGTTATCATAACTACCAGAAGCTAATGTATTTCCATCAGGAGAGAAACAGACTGACTAAATTCCATTACTATGACAATCTAATTTGGCTTTTTATTATCCTGTTTTCACATCCCATAGACGGATAGACTTATCAAAACTACCAGAAGCTAATGTATGTCCATCAGGAGATAAACAGACTGACTAGATATAACTAGAATGACCATCTAATTTGGCTTTTTGTTATCCTGTTTTGACATCCCATAGACGGATAGAGTTATCATAACTACCAGAAGCTAATGTATTTCCATCAGGAGAGA